ACGATTAAGTTGAAATCGAGACTTCCTCGCAGTTCAATCTTTTCGCGTCAAACACGTCCAAATAAATATCGTATCACGAGAGCGTTTTCCTCTCACGTTCAAACATAATCCATAAATGTATCGTCAACTTCCATCCTCTTCTCTTTCTGTAATACCACTTCTACGAACGCGATCACTATCGATTCTTCGCGAGACCTGAAGACCGACACTTCATCGCGTTTCGCGCATGATCGAACGGATCCATCGATCTTGCTGCATTCAAAAGACTCGCGAAACGAAACGATAGGATGACCCGGGGAAAGAAGAGAGGAAGTCCGAGAAACTGTTCGACTCTTGAAAACGTCATCCGACTTGAGCGACGACGCCTCATGGCGACCATGGACGACCACCACACTCCGCCGCGATGGTCATGGTGGTATGGCCATGGTGTGTAGGCATCGTTGATGGCCCGTTTCGAACTGAACCGCCGCGAAAGGCCCGGCAAGAGAAGAGAGAGCCATTCCCGTTCCCATAGCACGTGGTGCTTTTCTCTCTCTTTCTCTCTCTCCTTGCCATTTTCCCCCTTCGCTGGTATCTCGCGACCCTTGGTCCCCCTCTTCCATCATTGGCATCCCTCTCGCTCTCCCGTTCACCTTCTGGCCCCCTTCGGCTTCCCCATGCAGATGCACTCTTCTCCCCTCCGTCATTCGTTCTCTCTCACCATTCTGTCATGCTTTACCTTGTTATTTGTCTCTCTTGCACCTTTCTGACGTCTAGTTGGACGTCTAGCCCCCCTCCCCCCTCTCGTCTCGTCTCGTCTCGCTTCTCTCTCTCTCTCTCTCTCTCTCTCTCTCTCTCGCTCTCGCTCTCCCTATGGTACTCCGATGCTGCTGTGCTTCTTTGTCTGAATACAGCCTTCTCGCGCCCTCCTATATCCCACCTTGTCATCCTGTCTCTTTCTTTCCTTCGAGTACACCCTCGCAGGATCGATCCTTGTTTTTCGTTAGCTTCTCTCTCTATTTCTCTCACAATCTCATTCCATCTCCGTTTCTCTCTCGGTTTCTCCCTCGCTCGTTTTAACTCTCGCAGCCTCTCTGTAGCCCGCTCTCGTCGATCCTCCGTCTTTCTCACAGTACACAACCAGCCAATGGTGAATTCAGTCTTCCCTGGGAGCCGACCAATGCCAGTGGCACGCTCGACGGATTTTTAAACCATTTTTATGCTAATGCCCCGCGCCCGTAGTGCACGTGCACGCATGAGCGTGTGTCAGGGATGTATTGTGCGTACACTCTAACGAGATATGCGTATGCGTGTGTGAGAATTTTTTTTGTCAGCCTTGACCCTCGACCGTCTTTACCTTTGCTTGTTCCCAACTTCCCATATATTTTTATCTCGAGAGTTTTTAAGCACAAAAATTAAATTTGGGTATTTTTAAAAATTTATTAAATTGTATAAAAAATAGTTATTTAAAAGAATTTATACAACTTTGATTCAATAAAAAGCCATTTATAATCTTATAACAATAAATAATTGCAAACAGAAAAGAAAATCTTTTAACGGAAATATCAAGAATGTAAACCGACAAGGAGGCTTTATTCTCCATTCAATTTCGGATAATTTCTTCGCTCTAATAAATTATAATAAATTTTTACAGACATGGATATTTTACTTATTGAATTTAATAAAAATTCGAATTATTTATGCAATTAATGTATAAACAAAACTCTAAAAATAAAATAAAAATTCTAAATATACAACAAAAAAAATCCCTATTTATTTCTTTTGATAAAAAAATCACACCAAGTTTGCTAAGATGTTTTTGTTCAACAAGTTTAGAATACATATTTTGAAGGTCCGAATATATGTTCCGCGGTCTTGAGAATGGTCCATAACGCGCCCACGCGGGGGACTAGGTATATACTCGAAGCATAATGGAGCATTGTTAATATGTTAATGCATCGCGTGGGGAGGAAAGGGGGCTGCCTGAAGGCCTCGGCATCGCGTTTCTCTCGTCCGAAGAATCGTTACGCGCTCCATTAGATCTAAGCCCCAATGCCCCTTTTGCTCGAGAGAGATTTCTCTCAGCGTTTCCGTTATCTAGACTCTCGCAGCCCAAAGAATTTTCTAATCCAAACGCAAACATCCCTTAATCGATCTTTATGGTCTAGAATATCTAAAATCCAATTTAAAATATTATTATCTAAAAAATTATATATAATATTTTTTTCTAAAATATGAGATCCAAGTTAATATCTAATCATATAAACAAATTTACAATAATCATGGTGAAAAAATTTTTCTTAAGTTTATTAAAGAATAGACAATTAATTCATAACTTTAATTATTAATTAACTCGTTAACGAATTTTTAATTCTAATTTGTAATTGTCTATTGTATTGAAAAATTATAGATAATTCTTTACTGAAATTAGAATTAATTATACAAATCGTTCTAAAAAGAGATAAAAGAAAAAGTTGTAAATGAAAAGATCTAAACTTTGCCTGCAAATAAATCTAGCTCCAATTCAGTACTATTAATTTTTCCATAATAATATACCAAGAAAATAATTATATATATATATATATAATTAATTGTTAAACAAATTTTAAACAATGAGGAAATGATAAATTAAAAATAGTAAAAAACTTAAGAAAAGAATGCAATCATAAATTTGGGCGGATTTTAGTTGTAATGCGAAACGTTACTGAAATTATTCAAGTTACAATTTCAGGACGGAATTACTCATCTAAGCAATTCGTCGTCCAGTCCAAGAAGGTACCGCGATTTAAAAATATCGACCTTGACAGTTAGGGCAGTTAACACGTGCGGCATCCCCGCGCGTGCAGTCGCGTGCACGCGCGATTAATAAGAACGTGAAGTCAGTCACCCCTAAAATAGCTTTTAAGAGATATGCCCTCTTTTTCATCCTACTTATCTCCGCATTTCATCTTTAGTTCATTGCTACGAAAAAATAATATTTATTAATTTTTATATTTATTAATTTTTTACTATATTTTGTAACTTTATGCAACATTTTATTTATTCGATTTTGATACTTTAATTTAATTACTTTATACTCTATATAGGAAATTAAATTTATCTGTTCTAAAAAGAATTTTTAAGCGCTAAAACAAATATCGTTTCTTTTTCCTCCCTCTTTCTCTTACTCGTGCGTTTCCATCTTTCTCTTTTGTGGGTTGCTGCAATTAACTGCAGAATAATTAAAATATTTGAAGTTGCCTCGCTCTTGGTCGGTGAAACGCATTTTCTGCGTGCCAAAACATTGATATAACTGTATGCATTTTACTCGACGTCGATAACGCGAGGAAGCGGACGAGAAAGAGCTAAAGAGAGAGAAAGAGAGAGAATGCCGGTTGATTAACGCAGACGTTAATGAACGCTGCTGCCCAGCCACCGTTCCACAGGACGTTGGTATCGATTCGACTGTGCGGCAGAAAACAAAGCTCTCGACATAGATCTCGGGTCACGACAAAATACAAACGCCACGTCAAACCAAGCTTGTATCAAATCATGCAAAAATAAAAAAAAAGAAAACAATGTTTCCTTATAAAATAATTTAATTTTCGAGGATGGAAATAAATACAAAAAATTTAATTTGAAAAAAAAAAGAGTGAATGAAATCAAATAAATAAAAGATACGCAATTTAAATACGCAACGAATAATTAAGGAATTCATAAAATATATAGTCTATAATGTTAATTGTAATTATATTATATAGATATAAATATAAAATTAAGAAGTATTTTTTTAAATTAAAAATAATTTCCGAAATATCTGCTAAATGTTTTTGATAATTAATCATGATTTGTCAAAATATTGGAAATAGTAATTACTGTATGAATTAGTAAAACTTTTAAGTTTTCATTAATTTTTAATTCATATACCTCTTAATTAATGTGTCATTTAACGGCGCATCGTAATCTGATTTATCCAATTTTTTCGAGCTATTATATATAACTACTCGTTTGCGACAAAAAACCTTTATAAGTAATGACAAATCTCGAGTCTGTAAGTTAGATTTAATTGTCAGATTGCGCTTACAACCTCTCTTCCGGCTTTTTACGTTATTAAAACATCACCTCTCATTTATAATACATATAATGTATCCTCGAAGACTCGTAAAAGTTGATCGATTAATGATTATTATATGAAGGATCAATCGAGTCAACGCGGCGTTTAAATTAATTCAATAGATTTCTTTACGTCTACCAGTCATTGATAAATATAGTGCATAAATGATATTTAGCTTACGAATAATGAATTGATTATTGGTAATATTTTGATTATTATAATTGATAAAATTACTGCTCCAAATTATTAAAACGTGATAGGTAAGTACCATCGACTACTATAACAGATTTTCTGTATCTACAGGAAGTCACCATGGATTCGTATCGCTATTTTACCGACGTTAGGCTGTACAGTAAACTGATGGTCGATTTCTGAAAGCCATGCGGTTTATGCGGAGTCGATATGGTCTAAAGTTACCCATTAACGGTATAGCAAAGAAGATTGAAAATTTCAAATAATATACAAAATAAATTTCAAGATGACCATTAAGAAAAAACCATTAAGGAAAAAAATCTAAAATATATAATATACTTAAAAGATCTTAAATGTTAGAAATTTTAAGAATTCTTAAAAATTTTGCAATTTAAAAAAGTTTTATAATTTAAATATAGCAAAAATCAAAATTCAAATATATAAATTACAAAAATTAATCGAATTCAATAATTTCAATTTTAAAATAAAATATTTAAGTCTCAAAAGTTTGTTTGTCTGTAATATAAATATTTATAGTTTTAAAAATAATCCAAAATGTTTTTAAATTTTCAAGCACTCTGTATATTCAAGAAACTAAAATTTCAAAATTCTTCTTTTCATGATTCTAAAGATTCCAGAATCTATTTTCAAAATAAAGCTTCTCAAAATTATACATGCTTTTTATCATTATGAAAATGCCTTCATCATTATAATCAATAATTTTGAAAAGACTGGTTTACCTGGGCATATCCTGTAGCTGCTTGGCTCGCTGTTTGTAACGTGACAGAGCGAAGAGCAAAGCCAGTACCGGCCACAGGGTTGATCCCGCCGCCAATTCACCCGGGTTCACAGCACCTACATCCGCTCCCAAAGCCCGCAGTGCTCCCACGCACAAACTCACGTTTTCAACCTGTACAACACAGAAGCAATGCTTCGTTATTGATCGTTTTTTAGTTTTATAAAATGCGATATTTTTACTGCTTTGTTTGCAAAACTTAATATATTTCTTATTCTTAATAATTAAATACATTTTTAATTTTCGCAAACTATTTTCAAAATTAATTTCCAAATTATCTATTAAGTTGATTTCCAGTGTTATGATTCGATCGTAAAAATATAATATGTTATATTTTTATTTTTTAAGTAATCACTAAGGTCCAGTTCTAATAATTTCTCTATCAATTTATTGAAGTCAATACAACTAAGAGAAGATCTGGATATACAACTATCGAACTTCTGGACATCAAGAATCAGGATTTTAAGATCGGGTATCGAATAGTGGTATAGATAACATTCGTTACAGTGAAGAGGAGCGGAAGAAGTAAGGCGGAAGAGTATAGGATGTCCTCGAAAGAGACGCATACAGCCCTTGCTAGCATTCCACACAGTACACCACACGATACATATAACGCGAGAGTGAAACGTGACCATTGCGATCGTGGCTACCTTGCACACACGTGCCCACCAACCTCTCGTTTCCATTGTTTCTGATCCCGGCTTTTGCCCAGAAAACGAGCCGTGCCAAGGCACTACAGGGTAGCACGAGAGAGAGAGAGAGAGAGAGAGAGAGAGAGAGAGAGAGAGAAAGAGCTGGTGACTCACCTGGTCACGGACGGAAACGTAGGTATCACCCCATTAATGTAGTCGGAAAGTTCATTACAAGAGAACTAGAAAGCGTTAACAAGAAGATAAGAGTAGAAGTGAATTTGATTTAGATATTAATTCGTATAAGAACTCATACTCATAGTAATAATCCATAATATTCATATTGATATATACTTATTGTGATATTTCATAAAAAATTGAAAAATAATAGAAATAATTTCGCATTAAGAAAATTAAGGTGTATAACATTTTATATGTTTATTCAGTGGAATTTAAATTTGTGGAATTTAAATTAGAATTCAGTTTGATTAAGAAATTGCATCCAAAAACATAAGCAAAAGGTAATTAATATAAAAAATTAAATTAAATATAATAGAATTAAAAATAAAGCATAAGAAATATAAAAACTCTTATAATTTATTTATAGTATATAAATATATTATAAAAGATTTTATATTTCTTATGCTTTATTTTCGAATTTTCTCTCTTTCTTAATCACTTCCTTTGCTCGACAACTTAATCGGAATGCGCCACGTCATTCCACCGGCATCATGACAAGCCTTCGTTTTTTTAAAATGATAGCGGGAACGAGAAAGAAAGCGAGAGAGACGTTAAATCGATGTTGTATTATCGAGACCTAAATCCTTATCACAATCCATTAGTCTTGAAAAAGGATATCTCCAGAAGAAGCCGCAGCGCATTTCAAAAGGCGAAGTTCACTGCGAGTAGTTTCGAGTTATCCTGATGAAATGACAGCCGTAAATGGCAACGATGCTTTTTAATGCATTCTGCTATCTCCTCCTCGCTGGATCGCCATGAAGAATCGCGAGTATGACTCGTGCTTTATGGCGGTCCAGACTCACGCATTTCTTCAATCAATTTCATCAAATTTTCAATTTGGCATTTCAAAATTTTATTCTGTCATTTCTATTTCAATTGAATATTTAAGTTAAATTTTGATACGCGCGTACGAAATACTTAATGTTACACGATTTACGATTGACAGTCAGCTATTAGGTTTATCTTATACACACATTTGAAAAATTTATTTTTGGAAATAGATTGCTTTCATATAGCTAAGTAATTATCTGTGATGACAATAAAATAAATTTCTTAGTACTAAAAATTAATTATATATATATATATATATAATTAATTTTTAAATATCAAAAGAGACATTTCTAATATATAACTGTTTAATTTAAAAAATCTATAATTTAAGAAAGAATGACGATTTGTTAAATTAAAATAAATTAACTGCTATTGCAAATATACGCTAGTATTCACGAATTACAAGTATCGGCGAGGACAATCCTCTTCGGAATACCCCTGGGGGCCCGCAAGTTTGCGGTCCCAGGGAAGAACGAAAGAAAAGAGAGAGAAAGAGAGGTCGGAGGTCCAGATATGGTGGGAGATGTCCTCTTATGGTAACGTCTTCGCTTCTGCGGTTCACGAGAAGGAAAACGAACAAGAGAAAAGGAGTCCATAGAAGGACTCTCTTTTTCTTTATACATCTTCTTTTCGATCTTTTATTCACGAATAACGAAATATTTGTTTTTTATTCCTAAGGAAACTATTATTTATACAGAAACATAAAAAATATTTTACAAATTAACAGTGTTAGTTTATAAAATGTATCTAATTCTATATCTGAAATATAACTCTATATTGCCATAAATTATTATTTTAAAAAATTATTATTAAATTATTATTTAATTTATTATAACAAGATACGACTAGAATCCTAACAATTTGTGCATTTTGTTTTCTAAATATCCAGAATTATGATTAATTAATACATTTTTCCTCTATAACTCTTTTATTAATGTTTCTTTACAAACGTTCTTTGCGGAATTAATGATCAACTACAAGAAAAACGAACGAGTGAGGAAAAGTGAATGGATTGACAAACACAATGTATATCTCATGCTATATGAAAGCAGCAAAAGTTGTATATTACGCATCTTGTGCCGCAATCCCGTAGTAACGGACAACGTGGACAGGTAAAATATTTTTAGACTGCTCGTATCTTCCGGACTTTTCCTACCTAATTATAGCTAAATAATCATCGCGCTTATCTACCATGCATAATCTTTTCATGTTGCAGACTAGGTGCATCTAGTTGTACCATGATTATGTCAAAGAGAGTTCCCAGAAGTAGCAAAAGTATAGAAATAAAAAATTATTTGTCGTGTTTTCGAATAAATATTTGATATTTTAATGAGTGAACAAGAGATTAAACAGCAACGATAAATTCCCTAAATGCCTCACAAATATAAAATATTGTTTAGTGATTTTACAATTATCTATTGAAGATAATCAATACAATAATAAATTATTATAATAATTTAATAATATAATATAATACTTAAAATATTACGCAACATAAAATTAATTTAATATGATTAGAATAAATTCAATTCGCACATACGTAATTCAGTTCGCAATTACATTGTGGTTAGTGGAATTCAGGGTAAATTTCCTGGAAGTTTCTTTGCCAAACGAGAGCGATTTAGCGTAGTGGTTCGAGAAAGAGCGAAAGGGGATTCCTGGCAAGGCTAACCTGATTTTCTAAGACACCTCTGAGAGAGAGAAGACGCGCAATGTTCGCACGACATCCCGGAAATGGAAGCGGCAGCTGGACGAACTGATGCTCGTTAAAACCTGCAATTAGCGCGATCCCCAGCTTCGAAACGGTGAAATGAATCCAGTCTTCGGTCAGCGGATCTAATTGACTCCGCTCGCTAATGGACAAACTAATTCCAGAATTGCATATGCTTGAATATGCGGAAATGTATCTTTTAAATTTATTAAGACATTTAGCTGTAGAAAGTATTCAATTATTATAAATAATATAAATTTCAATTTAAAAATTTAATTAATATAGCATAGTATTAACATTCAATTAGTAAAATCATTTATTGGTATAAAGTTAAAACGTTAATGCTAAGACTATTTCTTATACAAGCTTAAATCAAACAAACATGCATAAATTACTTCGTTTGAAAATTCGTGTGTATTTTTACTATTTTTCATTGGTCCAATTAAATAAAGTTATATAAAATGCAGACTCGACTTCGTGATGCGTTAATAGGTTGGTTTACGTTAGCGTTACGGAGGAATTTAATTAATACCGTACTGTCATCTTTTGTAGAATTTCCGAAAGCTAGGTCGACGGCCCTTTTGTCCGAGGCGAAGAAAGAAAGAGTTTGCGCGGGTTGGAAGCGTGGCGGATCAATTTCGTGATTAGTACAGATTACCGTTCGCCTTGCGGGCTTTAATTAAAACCATTGCTGAGAACGTGCTTCAATTTAGCCCGCGCTATAGTACGAATTTCTCGTCGAAGAAAATTATTTACGTTCCATCCGACATTCATTCTTGCCAAAATTATTTAAAAACCAATCGCAAAGTGATAAATAAGCAACTTTTTTTGTTAATCTAAAACAGGATTAAAAATTAAATCATCTCAATTGTTTCAAAATTAAAATCAACTGTGGGAAAGCAATAATAAAGTGATCATCGAATTCAAAATAGCATAATTAGAGTGTTTTATTCAGTTTATAAATTTTATATAGAAAAACTTGGTTCTTTTATTATCAAAGGTTCTCTATTATGTATATATAAAAAATTTAGATGTTTAAAGATATAAAATTTGAAACAAGATTTCCATGCTGTTAAAATTAGAGAATCTGAATCTTTAAAGATGTAAGATGTACAATAAAAATCTCTAAGAACCTATTATCAAGATTGGAAGATTTGAGGTTTTAAAATTCTAAAGCTTTCAGAATCTGATTACAAAATTAAAAGGTGCGTAAGTTGCAATTCCATCGAAATTCCGAGTCACCCGGTGTAATTCAGTAGGGTCCAAACAAGTCAGCTTAATGGTTACAACGACCGACAGAATTCGCGGAATGTATAACGGGAGCATGATAATCTGCGACGAAAAATGAACGGTTCGCGAACGGCTTCGAAAAGCCGAAGAATCTCGTAATAATCGTCCATGCATCCTTAGCAAATCATGCGCGTTAATTCGCGCGAAATAATCCTGAAAATGCAAGGATTAATTCAGGAATCACGATATCAAAAAAGTTTTAAAGACAAAGTTGGAGCAATTTATTTTATATTAATCACCGCGATAAAACAATTATGTTTCTTTAATATAACTTTTTCCAAGTATAAAGATTATGCGAGATTCTTGAACGATGACACATCTTCGACGTGTGAGATCCTTCTTAGACCTCGGGAATTTGTGAATTCCGCGAAATTTAGACTATAAAAATGTGTCATATTTTTATTCTGATCCTT